ATTGTTTTTTTTGCTCTATTTCGCAAAAACTGTTCTAAACACAGCCATGTTGTGCATCTCTTCACACAGCAGTGTTTCATTACAGAATTAATTTAAGAATAGCTAATATTAAAATAATAAGTGATTTAAATTGTGAAGAAAATATTGTTTTTTTTGCTCTATTTCGCAAAAACTGTTCTAAACACAGCCATGTTGTGCATCTCTTCACACAGCAGTGTTTCATTACAGAATTAATTTACCTTTTTTGAAGGCCTTGAATCAGTGATTCACTGACCCATTCATAAAACATAAAAAGTTTCTTACTTCATTCCTGAATGAATCAGCAGTTTTTAACGAATCGATTGAATAAATGACTCAACGACTTTAAATATTATTAATTAAAACATTAATTTCATATTATTTATGCAATTTGTAAGTGCAGATGCTGTTTCTCATCGGAGAGCTTGTCAACTTTTACTGTCAAAATGACTGAAATTTAACAACACCACAAACTCATTTTTACTGTATTTTATTTACAATACCAGTCAAAAGTTTTTGAACAGTAAATTTTTTTTCTTTGATAAATAGAAAGTTCAGAAGAACATAATTTATCTGAAATGGAAATCTTTTGTAACATTCTAAATGACTGTATCATCACTTTTGATAAATTTAATGCATCCTTGCTAAATAAAAGTACTAATTTCTATCATTTCTTTCCCCCCAAAAAATTATACTGACTCCAAGCTTTTGAATGGTATAGTGTATAATGTTACAAAAGCTTTTTATTTCAGATAAATGCTGATTTTTGGATCTTTCTAGTCATCAAAGAATCCTGAAAAAATTTACTCAAATGTTTTAAATATTGATAATATCAAAAAATGTTTATCAGCATATTAGAATGATTTCTGAAGGATTATGTGACACTGAAGACTGGAGTGATGATGCTGAAAATTCTGCTTTGATCACAGAAATAAATTACATTTTAACATATATTCAAAGAACGCACATCCTGTTTGTTTGCTTAATTACAAAAACACAAATGTTATTTTTTATTGCGAGTGTGCACAAATAAAAGTAAACATTTACATTTAGTTATTTTGGATCAAATAAATGCAGGCTTGGTGAGCAGAAGAGACTTACATTTTTGATTTTCAGTATGTGTATGTTTTGCCATGACAGAAAGTCCCCAGGGGACTGTGGTGATGCCCTTTTTTAAGCTAGTGCAACTGAGAGGTCAAGATTTGTAATTTGTACTTTTAAAAAGAAAATGTTCAACAATTAAAAATAATATTATCAGAACTAAAGTTAATGAGTTATTGTGATTTTTTTGGGTGGGGGGGCTGGGATGGTAAAAATAAGGGTTTATAGTGCAAATCAACAAAAGAGCAATGATACGCAAGTGCTATAACAAGTCTCAGCTTAACGTAGTACTCGTAGCAAGTTTTTTTTTTTTATTATAGGCTATAGGCCAAAAGAAAATGTTCAACAATTAAAAATAATATTATCAGAACTAAAGTTAATGAGTTATTGTGATTTTTTTGGGTGGGGGGGCTGGGATGGTAAAAATAAGGGTTTATAGTGCAGTACTACAATTGGATTGTTTTTACAGGTAAAAAATGATTAAACTAAATGAAAAACTCTACAGTACTGATACTGTAAATGAAAATACGGTAATACTGTAAATAAAATGCAGTAAAGACATTATTGTACTGTGAATGCAATTACAGTAATAATACTGTAAACATTTCTACAGTAATTTACTGGCATCCAGCTGCCAGTAAGTTACTGTAAAATTTACAGCAACCTATTTACAGTGTGAGACTGTATATTGGTAAGCCACCCTCTCGAACGTGAATCTCAAAAATGGTCTGTGATGGGAGCTATTTGAATATGAAATGAGCCTGAGGCTGCCATCCTTCTTTGGGATGAAGAAGTAGCGACTGTAAAAGCTCAAATCGCTGCTGCCTGTGGGGCAGTGCTTAATTTGTAAATGAAACATTGCTGGATCCAAATCAGCAGTTAAAAGGCGCCGTGACCGACACTACATTTTAGATAGCATAGAGTACTATGGTATATACAGTATTAAATAACATGGTACTGCCATCTTTTATCGCCATTAAACTGACTTTAACGGTAGATGTTTGTAAGTGTAATACTGACCAGTTTAGGTCAACTTTAATGTCTGAGTTCTACGAAAAAGCAGATAACGGTAAATTATAAAAGAACAAACAGTAGCAGTGTTTGCTAGCATCCTGATAGCATGTAATTAATCCAGTAGGTATGAGGGAAACTGTTAATGTTATCTGCCTCATTGCACTTTTAAGTGTTTTTTAAACTGTCCCTGCCGTACACAAGCTGAGATGTGTCTGATCGCGCTGGCACCTCGCACACACACACACACACACACACACCACATATTCTAGCAATTCAAACTTGCCATCACAGTCTGTTCATTATTCAAATAAAATACAGTCAGCCAAACATATCAATTTAAAGAGTCCGTAGTATAACCGGTCTACAGCTGCTGTTATGCCAAGCGCATTTTTGCGCATGTGAAGAGGATGATTTTTTCCGTCGACATGCGAACGCGCATTAAGCCTAGTCTACATTATAAAAAATAGTTTTAACATTGAAATACATTGCAAATATGGAAACATTGGATTCATTTGTGCCGAATGAGAGAGGTACGTGAGTCCAACGGTAGCCTACTTTCAGTTTCACTTTGTTTTGGTTTCTTTATTTTTTTTTTTCATTCTTGATCTGTTCTGCAGTGCATACCGTTACATTTAAATGATTTGTTTTGGAATGAGGGGAACTAGGCTATGATTATAGTGTTTATACACTATAATATTTCACTTTATTTGGTATTATTTTTGGTATTTCTGGTATTATTACACTCTCTCCAAATGTTCCGCTGCTCACAAAAGAGTGGAGAGAGTGGGTTAAGCAGTAGCACCAATCAACGAGAGCGATTTTGAACTTAAGAAAGCTGATTGGTCAATAATATGTTGAGGACCAATACATAATCTACAAATCATGTTCCAAATACATCTACATAAACCCGCAATCGCTCTGTCTCGTATGCACGCACGCACTGTCACAATCTAATGCACTTGTTAAAGGTGGGGTAAGCGATTTCTGGTAGCCAACACGCCCCTACCCCAAAAGGGTCTCGCCCCTATTTTGATAGCTCCACCCCACACATACGTACGCAACCCAGCGATTAGTTCGTTCTGTGAAACAAAGCAAAACCAATGTTACACCGTGTCTACACCGGACGCGAGTGGCGCGGCGCGACAAAATACTATAGAATAATCAGTGATGCGGTCTACACCATAGATATATATATATATATATATATATATATATATACATACATATCTAGATCACCTCGTATTAGCAAGCGCACGGAGCAAAAATTCAAAAATAGAGGTTCAGCGATCACTCATTGTCTCTGGTTACTGCATGCATAAATTCAACAGAATCGTATGTGATTGGTTATGATGTGCAATGCTGTAAAAACGCGAAAAAAAGGTGCAACATGAGCAGATATTAATTTAATGCAACAATCGACAGTTTTTATTCATTTTCACTTTATTAACAAAAGACGTAATAGATTTAACTTAATTGACCCTTCGCAAAAACCCGGCCTCCTTGGTTACTGTTCCTATGTCCGACAAACAATGCCGCTCTCACACTACACGTTTTCATGCAGTAAAAAACACTGCGGAGCAAAGAGGAAACTGACAACACGCCGACAGATAGGACAGCAGGTTACTTTTGGTATATCTCAGCTTTAAAATGTTGTCATTTTTTAAAGAAATTCAAACAATAATTAACGTTTTGTGGCTCTTTAATGTGTCTTGACAGATCACTGTATTGCCTTATTATTTAGTCATTTCATTTAGTCATTTTGCAGACGCTTTAAAAGCGACTTACAATTGGACTTATTAGATCAATCGACACGTGAACTGATAGTCTTTTCTTCTTTACTTTAAGCACGAAAAAGAAACATGAACGAACATCAGAACATATTTTATTTCAACCGTGGAAAGAAGTCATACACACAATTTTTCAAGTCTAAGCCAAAGGGACTTTCTTTAAGTCTACCGAAGTTAATCTATGCTCCTGTCTGATTTGTTTGTCGGACAAAATGGTGAATTCGGCGTTATGATTGGTCAGATCACCGGTCAATCAAGCTGTTTTGGCTGGAGGAGGCAGAGTTCTTCATGGTGTCCAACTATTTCTCTGCACAGAAGCTGTCAATAACAGTAGTGTTTTTTAGCAAAGTCCTCCTTGGAACCCTCAAAGAGACCACCTAGCGTATGTGTACAGTCGAACGCGTAGCCTTTTCAAAGTATACTCCATTTGATGTTGTGTGCGAACGCAGATGGTCGACACATGCGCTCTAAAAAGCTTCATCCATGTCCAGTGTCTGCTCTATTTTTCCCTTATAAGTTATGACCGATAACAAATATTTTTGAATTTTTTTTAACCAAAGCTGGGCTGTCTCATACCCTCTCACTCCCAAGCACTTGTCAATGTGAGCGTCTGCTGTTGTTGTTGCAGTCTCTGCTATTTTGTTGTTGCTGTTCTGTCTCCGTTTCGTTTTCTACTCTGAAACAACGGCCTGTGTTGCTACCTTGTAGAACATCTGATCACTGCAAAATAACTTCAATGCGCATGTGACCTGCTCGTACAAAGTACGCACAGTTACAAAAATCAGGTGGTGCGTGTATGCACAGTATGCGCGTACTATTGTGATGACGAAATTCGCGTCATGCACGTTTTTTTGTGATGTTATTTATTTTAAAAACTCTTTTCAAAACAACAGTTGAAGACAATACTGGCTCACATTATTCTTTTCATTTTTTACAGTATGTCTTTTCTTTTTGAAGGGGCAATTTTTGATAGCATTAGTGACTTATGTACTGTTAATGCCTTTAACCACAAGTGCCAGTACACCAACTAACTGCTTGAAGTTTTATAAACTTAGTGAAGAATGAAGAATATACACCAACCTTTTTGTTCTTCAGCATCTTCCTGTTTTATTCCACAGGGTTCTGGATCAGTCATGTTTTCAGCTTTCTTTCATAAACTCTTTCATTAACTGTTGTGGGAGGAGCTGAACTGTTGATGAACTCCTGTGTGGTTGGAGGAGCAGATCTGCCAAAATCAAAAATAAATCAGTTATCAAATTAATGCTTTCATTAATTCACACAATTAAATCTTGTTGTTTATGTTTATCCATCTATCAAAATGTAAAGTTATTTCATTTGTTTTAAAATGAATTTACATATTATAAGTATTATATCTTTCTAGACTTTCTAATATTTGACATAAGTATACAACCACAAAATGCAAGTTATATGCTAAGGAAAACATTTGAGAGGCATTAACCAGCACACGCATCTGTCAAAGTACAACAGAGCAAGATGTGGTAAACGCTTATGCTTTTTTATTTGAAGTGCTTTTAAATATAAAGCATTGTCATGTTTCGGACAACTTCAGCAAGATCAGCTAACGATCGCTATCAGCCGATAATTGCCTCTAATGATTGGATCGGTGATCTCTCAATTTGCCAATCTCAGAAACCAATCTCATGTAAAAGATGCGCGTCTGTGAAGTGTTTGGCATGGCATGCAACAGTGCAGTCTCAATCTGTTTTTTATAAATTTGATTACTTAGTTTCTTATTCTTATTTTATCTGACTGCTTGCACATCTTTAGTGAGCTTGAGTTGAGTATATCTCTTCAGGGAAAACTGATCAAGGAAACATAGATCTAGAGCACCTCCTAGTGGCCATTATATAAAACACAAAGGAACTTACCCTTCATGCGATATTGCTTAACTTAAAATATACAAAAGCTTAACAGAAAGTATTCTGGGTCAATATCCCCATAGAGTGCCTTTCAACCCTCAAAATACTAAAAAAATGTTGGTTTTAATTTCCCATTCACTTTATGTCATATCATAAATAGTAGACACTCAAGTACTATAGAAACATATTAGCTGAGCTCCCACACATTTTTTTTAGATAATTATGGGCCATTATTTGAAGCATAAACCATAAGATATGTCCACCGTCATGGACATATATATTACTGTTAAATACATTTTCATTGCTAAATTAAGATGCAAATAATATTTTCTGAAAGGTATGATGTCCCTCTCCTAAACAGAGTTATTAAATAATAATATAATTACATCCTCATTCATAGTCACCAACTTCTGAGCTCACCTCAGCGGTTGAAATTCCCGCCACTGAAGAGACAAAAAAATCTGTTGTCACTAAAGTGAATGGCCTTTTCTTAAAGGGGCGGATTCCCCAATACAACAGGGTGGACAACCATTCAAGGGACATGGACAAACTCTTCTTTTTTATTAAATAAAAATATAGTTTTTATTACCAAATGATCAATATACTAAAATTGAGTAATCTTTTATTTAACAAAATATTAATAGGAGACATTTTTTATTTTATTTTATGATTTGACTATTCTACTATCATTCAAATTTAAAGGGTTAGTTCACCCAAAAATTAAAATTAGCCCGTGTTTTACTCACCCTCGAAGCATCCTAGGTGTATATGACTTTCACCTTTCAGACGAATGCAGTTGTAGTTATATTAAAAATTGTCTCAGTTCCAAGCTCTATCATTGCAGTCAGTGGGTGTTGCAGTTGAACAGTCCACAAGTCGTCAAATAAAGCGCGTGCATCCATAATAAAACATGTCTCACACGGCTCCGGGGGGTGAATAAAGGCCTCCTGTAGTGAATCTATGCATTTTGGTAAGAAAAATATCCATATTTCAAACATAATAAACACTTTTCTCTCACTTCCAGTGTCTGTCGTACTCGGAAGCCGTTTCGGCTACAATGTCAGGCTGCAATGATAGAGTTTGGAATAGCCAGGACAATTTTTTATATAACTCTGACTGGATTCGTCTAAAAGAAGAAAGTCATATACACCTAGGATGCCTCGAGGGTGAGTACAACACAGGCTATTTTTCATGTTTGGGTGAACTAACCCTTTAATGAGCAGTGCATGGGACATAGCAAAATAACACACATCCTCTTATACAAAACTGAAAAAAATCTAGAAAACGTATCTAAAGAGCCAAGTAATGCTTTTGTTATGAATATAAAAACTTAGTCTAACACACCCTTTCATAGTCATTTTTATGTTAAGTTATCATGGCAAATGAGTTATGTACAGGACACCAAAAGGCACCCTACAGTGATACTGACCCTTCCGATAAGAGTTTTACTGTGAAAAAAAAATAAAAATAACTATGACACTGTTCTCAAAAGAAAAATATATCTATTATATTATTATTGAAATACCTAAAATGCGTGCTTGTCAAATGTTTTCTTCAGCCAGTTGAAATGCGGTACCATTGTGTGCGTGCACATGAGCAGTATTTTACCACCTCCACCTAATTTTGAGCCAGGAAAACCCCTGTTAACAAACAAACAACAACACAGAAAGTCACTCAGGTCTCAATAAATTCAACAGTAGTTTCTCACATCGCTGAAAATAAGGGACACTCAAAATATTTGTACTGTATTGCTAAGTCGATCTATGTACAATTTAATTCCAAAAAGAATTCATTCTTCACCAGTCGTGTAGTAATAACTTTGGAGATGGTTTTGTGATTTCAGTACAATATAGCTACACCAACGCATAATAAATCTCATCATCTTCTAGCTGTGACGCGGGAGTGACCAGCCGGCTGAGGATTCTGCTGGGTCTTAACGCCTTCAGCAAACGCAGGGCTCGACAGTGCGAGCATTTCACTCGCATTTGCGACTAAAAATAGATGTGTGCGAACTAGGGGTGTGCCGGTATGAGTATCGGTACTGAACGCTTCACGGGGCAAATTCCAAATGGAAGTGATCATCCCTATCCCCTTGGAGCATAGGTGCTCCGATCAGGATTTTTGAGGCCGATCACCGATTACAGAAAGCAGTATCTGCCGATACCGATCACCGATACCGATCTATTTAAAGCCTTCTTTTTATAATTTATAACTATTTATACTGATACTCCAATCAGGATTTTTAGACATTTATTCAGGGCCTGAATTTCATTTTTGAAAATGGGGGG